ATCAGAAAAGCTATTTTGCAATTATAATTTTGTCATTTGTCAAACAATCCCATACACTACACACTGCAGTTGATAATGATGATATATACGTAAGTAAATAAAGTAAAGTAAAGTAAGTAAAGTAAAGTAGTGCTATCTCCTATGTCTGACACTAAAAAATAGCAAATGCTAAACATGAAAGGTAGGGAAAAACTGGCAGGAGACATGAGCGTGGCGGGGTGGACAGAGGGCCGATTGTCAGCACCACTGCAGGTGAAGTCTAGAGTTTGCGTATTTATCTTATGATTGGTGAAGAACATTGCAGGGTTCTGAGTGGAGAGAGGGCAGCACCATGATCACATGGCCTGGGCTGTAACGTGACTGCACCATGGAGTCCACCGACTTGTTAATTAGAGTTCACTGAGGGAGCAGCGATTGCAGAAGATGCAGAACTCTACTGGAGATGGTGGTGGGAGGAGAGAAAACATCCTAGCACTTTAGTGAGGCTGCAGTCAGGGTCTAGCAGGAAATCCAAGGTGGAGCAGGAGAAGCAGGGTGGGAAGGAGGGCAGAGAGTGTGGCCCTGCTCCCACCTGTGCATCTGTGGACACTGTCTATTCCCTGACAGGAGATCCAATGCGTTCCCAGCTGCCCGATCCGGTCCTCTATTAATTCTCCTCCAGTCATGATCTCTTGCACGTCACAGGCTTGTTTATAGTGGGACCAGGTTTTATGTGACACTGCACCAAGAACATGGGTCTATGCTTGGTTCTATTTTTAATTTATTGCTTTGTTTTCAATTTTTATATTCAGAGACTATTTAACTCTGTACTTTTATTGACCAACAAGGTCACTTTTTACACGTCCTTATTTATTTGCCAGAGGAAAAATTTTAATTTTTTTGTTTTATCATAATAACAGAAAACTTTGTTACATAAATGCCAAGAAAGGACTGGCTCTATGTACATTTCTAGTAAAAACAAATATCATTTAGCTAGTCAACGGCACTTTAAAAGTGTACTGATCTTTATTTGCACACTTTAATTTTAAGTATTTAAAATTACAATGAAAGTGACAAAAATAGCATAGCATTTTTGAACAATAATTTTCTTGTGAAATAAAAATATGCTGGATGTGTTGTGAGGTATTTCAAGTGGTTATATGTAGATAATGGAAACTAATGAATTTTTTTATTCTCTCTGATTTTTAAAAGTATACAAACATATTTCTCTTTTAAGACACCATATTTTATGAAACTTGACCTGTAAAACAAAGACATATTTGTAATGCAAAACAAAACCCAAAAATCCCTCTCTGGGAGTGCTGAGATCCCTTCTGTAGTATATTCCATGTTGCTCCCTGCACTGGGCTGTAACGAAGGCTGCAGAGGTCTCCCTGTGGGAAGAGAGACTGCACCTGGCTCATCGTGAGGTCCCTGTGCAGACGGCAGCACCTACTACAGCAGGACCTCAGTAAGCATTTGCTAAGGAGATAGGAAACAGTCGCAGCTAGCTCAGGAATGTGGTGAAGATATAAACTGAACCAGTGGAGTAATAAGTTGGTAACGACAAGCTCCTTGTGATAGTTGTAGGCCTCAAACAGTAGTACTCAGATTCTTAACTAATTCAGCGGTGTTATGTGTGGAAATTGAAGATATCTGGCCCTTTCCAGCATTCTGATTCAAACTCCAGAAAGCTGAAAAAGTATTTCCAAATGTTTTGTAAATTATATGAATGTTAAGGCTAGGACCAACTTTTTTGGTGTTTCAAAAGTTAATATTCCTTTGTCCTTTTTTTTAGAGGGACTTTTAAAGGAAATTGCTAGAGAAGATGGTAAGTTCTGTTCTCTTTCCTGTGCTAAATTCAAAATTCAGTGTACATGTCATGAAAATGTTGACCTCTCAGTGTGATTGTATAGCAGGTTAATAATATCCCTTAGTTATTCAGACCAATCAGGTCCACAATCTCCCAAACAAGTGTGTGGTGAAGGCTAAATGAAAATAGACAAATGGAAGGATTTCACGGCTCCAGGAGGATCAAAGCCTTCTCACAGTATTTGAGATTCTGTCAGGGCTTAGACCAAGACCTTCTCTTCGTGGCCATTATTGTATTTTTTAGTAATCTGAAAAAGGGAGGGGAGGACTTAAGAAGGGTGGAACCACTCACGGAGTTCTCCAAGTAAGATACTAAGTTAGTCCACTCAGGAGCGAGGTGCCTGAGGCTACAGTCTTTATCCAGTTGAGTTTAGAGTCAGGGATCTTTGGCTGTGACCTTGTTCTATCCCTTGAGGCATCAAAGTGTCACCTGCAATTATGGACTTCAGTAGGGATCAGTGACTCACAGAGGCTCACTTGCTATGAGTCTATCCCCCATCTCTAGACAAGGAGCCCAGGCCTGGGACAGACTCACATTAAATATGGAAAGCCAATTGTTTAATTTAAGTCTTCTTCAGAGCTGCTGCATAGCGGTCTCCATCAACTACAGGACAGAGAAAATTTTTGAAAAGACACTACCTGTCCTTCTTCTTCAAACTCCAGAAAGCTGAACAAATCTTTCCAAAGAGTTTACAATCATACTGAGAAAAAGGCTAGGAATAACTTACCTGCCATTTCCAATAGTAATATGCATTTGTTTTTCTGTTTTTTTTTTTTTAGAGGGAATTGCTGAAGAGAATAGTAAGTTCTGATTTCTCCCATGTACTAAACTGAAAATTCAGTCTGTGTGTCATCAAAATATTTACCTTTCTGGGTGATTGAAAAACAGAAAACCTTTTCTAAATACTGCTTCTTCTACTTCTGATTCAAGCTCTCAACATATATCAACCAGACATCTCAACATGTATTTGCAAATATTTTACTAATTATATGACAATAAAATCTAGGAACCACTTTCTTGGTGTTTGAAAAATTAATAGTCCTTTGCCCTTTTTTTTTTTTTTTTTTTTAGAGAGAATTGCTAAAGAACACAGTAAGTTTTGTTTTCTTTCCTACGTTAAATTGAAAATTCAGTGTATGTGCATGAAAATATCTATCTCAGTCTGATTGCAGAACAGAGAAAACTTTTTGCAAAGACCCTTTCGGTCCTTCTGCTTCAAACTCCAGAAAGCTGAGAAAATGTTTCCAAATATTTTACAAATAATATGAAGATAAAGGCTAGGAACAACTTTCTTGATTTTTTAAAAATTAATAATCCTTTGCTTTTTCTTTTTTAGAGAAAATCACTGAAGAATGTGGTAAGTTCCTCCTTATGCTGAATTGAAAACTCAGCATATAGGTCATGAAAATACTTCTCTCAATGTGATTGCTTACAAAACACAGAAAACTTTTTGCAGAGACCCTTTCTGTTGTTGCACACAAATCATATGAAGATTAAAGCTAGGAACACCTTTCTTGGCCTTTCAAAAATTAATTTTCCTTTCCCACTTTTTTTTAGAGAGAATCGCTAGACAGCGTGGTAAGTTCTGTTTTCTTTCCTGTGCTAAACTGAAAATTCAGTGTAGATATCATGAAAATATTTATCTCTCAGTGTGATTGCATAATTGCATTCCGGGTTAATAATATCCCTTAGCTACCGCGGACTGATCAGATCCACAGTCTCCTAAATGAGTGTATGGCAAATGCTAAATATAAGCAGACAAATGGGGTGATTTCAGGGCTCCAGGAGGATCAAAGCCCTCTCACAGAATTTGAGATTCTCTCAGGGCTAAGACCAAGACCTGTACTGGGTGGCTCCGATTTATTCAGTTATCAGAGCAATAGAGGGGAGTACTCAAGAAGGGCAGAAACACGCAGGGCCTTCTCCAAGTAAGGCATTATGTTAATTTAGGAGGGCAACATTAATTCCAGGAAGGTCTCCACCCAGGAGTGAGATGCCTGCGGCTACAGTCTTTATCTAGTTGAGCTTGGAGTCAGGTGTCCTTGGCTGTGACCTTGCCTTATCCTTTGAGGCTTCAAGACATCACCTGCAATTATAGGCCTCAGTAGGGATCAGTGACTCATAGAGGTTTACTTACTTTTTATAAAGATCCTATCTGTCCTTCTGCTTCAAACTCCAGAAAGCTGAACAAATCTTCCCAAATAGTGTACAAAAAGGCTGGGAATAACCTACCTGGCATTTGAAATATTAATACTCCTTTGTCTTCTTTTAGAGGGAATTGCTGAAGAGCATGGTAAGTTCTAACTTCTCCCATGTGCTAAACTGAAAATTCAGTCTGTGTGTCATCAAAATATTTATCTTTCTGGGTGACTGAAAAACAGAAAACCTTTTCTAAATACTGTTTCTTGTACTTCTGCTGCAAGCTCCAGAAATCTCAGCATACATTTGCAAAAAATTTCCTGAATATATGAAGATAAAATGTAGGAACCACTTTCTTGGTGTTTGAAAAATTAATATTCCTTTGCCCTTTTTTCTTTTTTTTTTTTTTTTAGAGAGAATTGCTAGAGAACACAGTAAGTTTTGTTTCTTTTCTTGTGCTAAATTGAAAATTCAATGTATGTTTTGTGGAAATATTTGTCTCAGTCTGATTGCAGAACAGAGAAAACATTTGCAAAGACCCTTTCTGTCCT